ATTGTTCAAGCCAGCTGCGGCAGATGTCTGTAGTGTGGTGGTCATCCAGCATGGACTTGGTGTCTTCTGGTCCTGCATGTGGATGCCGTTGAACACGCAAATTCTTGTTCGTGAGATGATTGTACTTGCGGGTTCCAAATTTATTTGCCTCTTGACGCTCACCCGGTCAATCCTGCCATATCCCGATGCGCTTTCGGTCCGCTCTTACACCTGGATAACCAAGCCCTCCAAGTGTGACACTCAACAGGGTAAGAAGCCTGCGCCTAAAAACACAAATCGTCATAGCCGAGCCCTATGTAGGAGATTCAACACATTGACGACAACACCCAACAGATGACGCAAAAGTGCGCACTCGAGCACTGAACGCGGGCGGGTGCGCACTGGATGAGGGCTCACATTGATCACAGCATGTGCATACCGATATTTGGAGTTGTGCGCTGCAACGTCGGCTGCATCTGTATTTGAACGCTTGAGAACTGTCCAAGTTCGTGCTAAGACTGTGAAGAGTGTTTCTCTTCGGCCGGTGGGGCCTGTTGTGACGTCCGAAAACAGGCAATAAGAAACTAAACTACAGTATCCGACCGTGCATTCTAATCACAGCCTAGACTAATCATGTTGATTTTCTCTGTCCATTCGCAATTGGCACCAACGAGCAATCCCACTGCAGTACAGTACAAACGATATTGCACCGCTTCCTTTCTGCTCACCGCTGGTGGCGATGTGAACAACGTGAACTCGATATTCCTGCAGCATGGTCCAATGCATGTGCACGACCACCCTTGCGTGTATTGGTATGCCATGAACTGCCGTTGTCCATGATTACGATGCTTGATCAACACAGACAGGTGGACATATTCGTGTTTCCCATTTCGGTTAGGTTTCACGAATGGGGGTCGTCTTATCGGTGGGACCCTGAAAAGCCGGGAAGCCCCGCTAGATCTACCTTCAAACCTGTGTTTGTGCTTGTTGGCAGTGCTTACAACCAACCCTCCTCGTGGAACCTCATCTTCCTTCTCGCTCTCTCGTATCATTGAGGCCTTTGTCAGTACTCTTGGATATGCGCCGGGGCAGAGATATGACTCGTGGCTTCCCTTGAGACGACAGCAGCCACAGGTCCAACATTGACAGCAAAAACCAAAACATCGAGCCCTATTACATCCAACGCCAATCGCGATAGCCCCTGTCGAAGAGTTTGCCGGTTGGGCGTTTTCAACTTGATGTATGCTATCGTTCCCTTGGATATTCGCGGCAAATAAAATAATACGGCCTTTTCGATTTCAAATGGCAATTTGGCGACACAACCAGTCATTTCTTTCCACTTGTAGAACCTTGACGATGTAACCCGACATGTGGGAGACGCGAGGAACATCGAGAGCCCTATGACACGCCTAAGATGAACATGTATCTCGTTGGGAAGTTGCCTTCATCTTCTGCAAACATCTTTTCGGCCCGTGAATGACCAAGACGCGTCGTCGCCCCCAGCGCTGTAGCTATGGCTCTGACGAAAGACAAGAGTGCTTTGTGGCCCTACTAGCTTTGGCCGTGGGAAGGACGTCGGTGATGACGAATGCATGTCAGCAAGTAAACAGGAGCGTTTGTGGGGGCGCGGTGTTTGGTGCTGTGTGAAATGTCAAGAGTTAGTGCGTTGGGCGAGTTCGCCGAGTACGACTCGTTGTTGGACACAACTTCCCTTACTATTGATTAAGCCCCCCATCGACACGCTTGATCGTCGGCATCGTAGCAAGTTGCTTCCTTTCGGTGCGTCACAGTTGGCCTCAAACGCTGGGTGTGAGGACCTGCCTCGTGGCATTGATGCTTCGCCGTTGATTGTGCATCCTCGGTGCACAAATATATTATTAACAATACTTTTGAAACGTGCTGATGGTTTGGACGTTGCCTTTTTTTCTTGGTTGCTCCGAGTGAGATCAGTCCACAACGCATGCCAGAGAGAGGTCTTTGGCCGACGACATCCACAAACTGGACCCACTGGAGTGCGATCATACACATGCCCTTTGCAGGTGACCCAAAACGGGCGCTCGGTGTCTAACTGGTCGCACACGAGCCAAGACCGTGAACTGAAGCATGTTGTGATTCACAAAAGACTTCAGTCGACCCATTTTTCCCCTGAGAAAAAAGGATGCCTTGAGGAACCGTAAAGTCGCTTGGATTTGGATAATTGTTTCCGCGCAGAACCCCCCGCCCCGATCAAGAGAAAAATGACAATATCTATGGAATATCCAAAGCTTAAGATTCGGCCGACTACTGGATTCATGAGAGGAATCATTTTTTGGACAAATATCATAGGATGTTCGCGGACAGGTTTTTGATTTTGGTCTTGGATGTCGGGAGCAAGTTCGAAGTGAAAATATGAATTTGATGTCAAAGCTGCTTGCGAAGACCGCGGATTGGCCTCTCTCTGGTCCTTCTTTGGACATTTTTCAAGAAGTCATACATGTGACGTCACGCAGTGGCCGTTTGCATTTTTCTTTTCTTCTCATGACGTTCAGATATGAATGGAGGAACCCTGTGATGCTGCACTTCCAGACTACTCTGCACCTTCTTCCAAAGCGCCTTCGAACTGGAGATATCTATTGACTGCACGCTTGCCATAGTGGTAGTCGTTGCTGTCTTCACATAAAAAAAACGATCTGGTCTCCGCCCAGTACCTTCTAATGTCCGTATTGGTCAAACTGGCGCGGACATAGTTGGCTCGTTTATCGCGCAAGGAACACGAAAGAGGCACCATACGCACACTGCTGCTGTGTGCCACGCCTGTTTTGCTGCCATTGTGTGGTTCTTGTAACTCTTTGCTGAGCACGCGCCCCACATCACACTCTCACTCAGATCACGCGGATGCAAACGCCGACTGCCACGGGACCTTCGAATGCTCCCCTACTCCGAGCAACCTGCTTTGACATCTGTTTGGCCAGTAGGCTGACTCAACGAGGAGGTGTAGCCTGCTGCATAACGCGTGGGCCTCTTCTTGCTATCCGAGTGGACGAGGAGTGTGTGTCGTCTTTTTTTTTGTTTTTGCCTTCCGACAATTGCATATGTACCTCAGAAAACTTTCACTTAATGTCTCATACTCTACATGAATACTAAACCAATACAAAGCACAACAACATATGTAGGACTTATTTCTACTGCCACTTACATTGTAAAAATATCTCCTCTTCAATTTGAAATAAAACCAATGACAATCCTCATGGTATCCTACATGCGTTCGTAAGCTTGCTAAAATACTACTGCGTTGATGTCCTCTTGAAAAAGCTGAAATCCAACAAATGCTTTGATCCATGCTACATCTCCGTGTTGGAAAAGCCCTTTCTTTTCCGTTCACGATAACATCTTACCCTATTCTACGCAAATCTGTCACATCTACTCTCAAACAAGACGCCAACTTCAAACGAAAACGCGTTCTACGATGCGTCTACACTCCATCCCCACATCATTGGCGTTGACTGGTTCGAGGTCGATCTTGTTCGCCTGTTTTCGGCGTCTTGACCCCCGCGCAATGCGAGCTTGTATCTCTGCACTCGCCGAGATATGGCCACCTGTGTAGCCACCGAAACGATCTGAAGAAGTCGTTCCTTGAAGACTCCTTTCAGAGCCATCGTTCCTCCGTCCCTTCCTCCCACGGCATGTGTCGCAAGTTCATCGATGAACTCGTAACCCTCCTCTCCAAGGCGGCCAAAGCTTTCCACGGCTAAGGTGGTAAGTTTAAAGCTGCGTTCGTCAAAGGACACGTGTCCCGGACGAGCGTAGTGCTGACGCTTTCGCGCCTCGGATGCTTGGGCTGCGATTCCATCGCTGGTCGCGCTGCCGTTCCGCAAGTGTACCTGTGCTTGCGGGTCTGCGTGTGTGACATCGAGGAGTATTCCTTTGTTGCGGTACCCCGGAGAAGATGCGTTCGTGAGGGCTCCTGGCCTGATGACGATGTCCATGCTCAGGTTTCTTTCCCCCGTGAACGGTGCCCCGCTTTCAACGTCGTGTTTGACGCGAAGGCCGTTGAGTGCTCTCGATAGTGCGTATTTTAACGGCTCGTGCATGTTGACCTGTGCTCCATCCCTTCGACAGGTCCTTGCGTGCACCGTTGTGATGATCTCGCCTTCCCGGCCTCTGTGGCACCTGGGACATCTTTCCGCCAAGAATTCTTCAATTTCCAAGGCGCGTCTCGTCGCGTAGCCGAATTCGTTCGATTGAATCTCTCGAGCTCGGTCGGTGGGAGCCGCTCTCAGTAGCGCGTGTCCCCCTTGCCCTTGCGAGCTTCTCGTTCGTGCGTATGCCATGTTCCTGGCCTCTTGACCTCCGTAGGGGTTGTCCCGCGTGGGTGGTACCGCCTCCTGGGGGAGGTGCTCCAGAGACTCCATGAACTTTTCAAGTTGTATCTTGTTAATCGCCTTGCCCAGTTTGTGCTGGGCTTTCCTCGGCGTAGTATATTCCCCATCGTGTGCTGCCAGCTCTGCAACGGTGGGCTGACGCCTTCCGGTTTCTCCTGGCGGTTGTAAGGCCCACTCAACCCATAACGGGGGAAGGATCCCCTTCAGAATCTCCACCGATACTCCATGCTCCTGGTTGAGTTCTTTGATAGCGTCCCCCATCCGCTCCACCAACACGGTTCCCGGTATCCGAACTCTCACCAACTCTCCCAATGGAACCAGTAACGCGGCTATAACCGCAGGAAGGGTGCCGACTAGGTTGCCCAGAGAAGCTGAGAACCTTCGCATAACGGCTGCTGGTAATCCTAGTCCTCCGGCTCCTGTCGACAGGCGCGCCTGGGCTTGTTGATAGGGCTTTAACTTGAAGCGGTCAGGCTGGCAGTCGTCTTGGAAGAACTCTTCTTCGACTTCGGTATCTCTGAGCCCCATCGTTGCCTCTAGGACCCACATCACCATACTGTCCAGGCGTTCATAAGTCCCGCTCACTAGCTCATGATTGATGCCTCTCTCGATATATCCGGATCGCTGTGTCAGCGATTGTNGTAAGAACTCTTCTCGTCCTCGGTATCTCTGAGCCCCATCGTTGCCTCTAGGACCCACATCACCATATTGTCCAGGCGTTTACAAGCCCCTCTCACTAGCTTATGATTGATGCCTCTCTCGATATATCCGGATCGCTGTGTCAGCGATTGTGATGTGACGAGGTGAGCCACCTGTTTGTCTGGCATGCGCACCAGCATGCGAGCAAGCTTGTCTGCACCCCCTTCAGTTATCACTTTCATTGCGAAATCTCCGACTTAGGCATTCGTCCCAATGGGGACTCCCACAACTGTGATGCCCTCCTCCGCAATCGGTAGGCCTGCATCGCCAAGTAGCCTCCTTTCTGCTGGCGTCACGTCGTGCCCTGGTGGGGGAAGCGCTGAGCTCTTCCCCCTGTTGACGATGATGCCCACTGCTTCTAGTTTGTCGACGAGGTCCGGTATCACCTGAATATTTTCCGCTGTGATATTTTTGAAGTGCAGGCTGATGTCGTCCACATAAGCTTTGAAGCTTACCCCGAGGTGGTCGTACTTGGCTCTAAGCTTCAAGACGATCGGGACTAGGATGAAGCAGAACAGGGGCAGTCCCATTCCATCTCCTTGCTGCACACTGCTCTTGCACTCGATCGTCCGGACGCTCTCCGGAGTCCATCGCGTATATCGCCTTTGCCGGGATTTCGTCGTAACACCTGGCGATGTACCCCACGAGATCTGGGACGCTCTTTGCGGCCTGAGCCATTATGGCGGTGCGTTTGCCCGTGTTGAAGGCAATTGAGCAATTCGTCTGGACTACCCAATGACCTGTCTGATGAACCAGTTGTGCGTCCATCGCAACTTGTTCTATCGTCGTGTTTGACAATTATGACCGCCATCACCACAGAGCGAGTGTCCTGAGGTGCTGTCCAACGAGAAACAGTTATGTATTTGTGCAAGCGAACCTCCTGGTACCCTCCGCTCGCCACTCTTGTGTTTCCGTCACATAGTTGGGCTCCCTCTGGTGCATAAACGCGGTTGTTTGTGTCGTTTGCAGAACGCACGACGCCCACGGGATATCCCACGGGGCGCTCCGCTAGCCTGGAACTGTTCCAAAAATGACAAAAAAGAGCAAACGTTTTGGATGTTTTCTGCGGTCTTAGGGGGGGG